TGGGGTTTGTTGGGGGGGTGGGGGGGGGGTGGGGTGTAGGCAGCTCTTAGTACAGAATTAATCAGTATTTGTATCAGGAGGTGATGTCCAGGGTTTCCTTCTTTAAGTGAGTGTATATATTTACGGCCCAAGTTTAAAACAATAGTGGAACATGCCCTTGCCTTTAAATGAGCATTCACATATTCCTTCAGTTCTACAAATAGTTTTGAGTGAAGTTATGAAAGAACAAAAAAAGCAGTTGCTGAGCATGTAGAGACATAGCATATATACCTGTGGGCTGCACTGTTCTTCTTGGAAAACCTTCTCATATAACTGATGCAGAGTAAGTTCAGGTACTCTGATTAAGCAACCAAGAGAATAGGGGTGAAAACTGGAAACCACTTACAAGTAAATCATGAACCCAAAGAAAAATCCAGGAATGAGAGATCCATGAGAACTAATTAATCTCTTTTTAAAAAGAAAATGCCATTTTAGAAGTCCAAAGCCCTGCTGGCTTTGAAATAGTACCCAGTTCCCAAAAAGAAAACTAAATAAAGAATTAGATAGTGGAATTTTTGCAAAGGTCTAGCTAGGAAATAATTATTTTCAAATGCAGATTTACACAAGAATGAAAGGTCTGTAACTCTACTACTGTGATAAAAGTGAGCAGGTAGAGATAAATTGCCATTTCTTCCTTTTCACCCTGGATCTATGTACCCTTTTGTTGATTCCATTAACTAACATGTAACCAAGTGTTTGAAAATTTATTCTAACTTTTCAAGATGGAATCATGCTACTAAAATGTAGTATAAAGTTGTAAAGAATTTTGTGTATGAGCCAGAAAAAATAGTAGGTAAATTTACATAATCCTTTGACTAAATAACAAGACATATTGTTGTCCCTAAAGCAGTGTCCATTACCCAGTGTGCAAGAGGCCAATCCACACAGAGAGTCGAGATATTTGCTGTAATATCCAGTTCTGTGCAGAAAAGCAGGATGGTGTCACGGTTTGACTCAGGATCGGCAATTAAACCAGTGACAACAAATCTCTCGATCCCCTTCCTCTCCCACCCAGGTATGGAAGGATATCACATCCCAAGTATGTCCAGGTCCCTGAGCAAAAGCAACACCCCAGACAGGTTTACCTTTACCTGAAGCAGGAAAAACCCAAATACTTTTACCCAACAGATTCCTTTCACACACCACAGGAGCTTTATCCCAATTTACTGTATGTAGAAGGCCTGATTGAGCAGGATCAGCCCCCTTGAAGGATTTTCTGGTGTTAATTAATCAGGTGGTCTTTGCCAAATTTTTGTCCCAATTTTTGAAAAGTTTTGAAAGTTCCACTACCCATTACCTTCAGGGTAGCTTTCAACAGACCATTGTACCTTTCAATCTTTCCTGAGGTTTGTGCTTGGTACAGGATATGATATAGCCACTCAATAGCAGTCCACTAGCTGGAAAACTTGCTGCTAGTTAAAAGGGAGCTTTAAGTGAAGAAGAAAAAAAAACAGTAAAAGGAAAATTGGCTTCATCCTGGCTCAAACTAGGACAGGTGGTGGCATTCCTCAAATCGAGCTCAGTTTCCTGAAACACAAGTGCTATTTTTATACCTAAAAATGTGAGAAAGAGCTTTAATATTATTCTATCACTGGCACACACGATTAGTCAACTAATTCCTTGCTTCCATTTAAAGTGGCAATGCTCAGGAATTTCACTAGGCATGCTCAAAGTGTAAGGGGCTTGTTGTTATTAGGGCTCCCTCTAGCCTGTGGCTGTGAATGTTAGTATGCTAATGGTCACTAATACATTAATATTATTATTTAAATTATTCAATGTGTTTTTTTCCCAGTGCTCAAGGCTGTAACCAAGATAAGCTGTGGGGAGTGCTTGTTTCCATCCCTTTCATCTATTCTGCAGGCCTGTCTCAAGGCTGGGCTGTTGACTAATTGGAGAGTGTTTTTCTCTAATTGGAATCTGGTTTTGTCTAATTCTTACTGTTCACGGTAATCTAGGCCTTATTTTTATTCTACGTTTCCCTTGTGTTCTCTTTTATGTGATTTTTTCTCAAATGTGATTTTTTCCCAGATGTGACTTTTCCCCTCAAATATTACTTTTTTTCAATTAATAACTGACAACAATATGGCCCCCTTAAGTTCCTTCATAAAAACATTACTGAAACAAGATGGACACATCTGTGCTGTAGCAGAGCTGAGGTTGATTCATGTTGAAAGATAGTTCTAAATCTGAGGCATATGCTTCTGATCTATCACAGAAAGCAGACTGTTCCCAGTATGAACATTTTGCTTAAGTATGTACAAGAAAAGTAATTCAGAAGTTCTGTGCATCTGTAAACTGTGGACCAAATCTTGACCATGTGAAAAGTCTGTGCTCCTGTGTCCCAAATATAGGGAAGTCCTCTCATGTACTTCTTTTTTGAAAGCTCAGTGAGGAACAAGCATCCATGAAATATCCTTGGACAAGACAGTCATGTGGCACCAAAGGAGGGAATATTAATATTTCTACAAGATATTTTTACCTAATGTTTTCAGACAGTCATGATATCGTGCTTTGCAGATTCTTTATGCTCTATTTCTTTATTACTTATGAAACTCTAGCTAAAAATTATTTAATGAAGCTGCTGAGGAATCAATGGCAAGACCAAGATTCAGTCTGGTATTTTGTTACTCATAGTGCAGACATGTCTACTCAGGACCTTCTGTGTTATGAAATATATTAATCTAATCCCAGGTGTTTGAGTTTAGGGGCATCTACATTCAGATTTTTATTTCAGTGTCCTCAAGAAAGAAGAGCTATGATAGTTGCAGAATATTCTTTAGTAGATAGAAATACAGAATTAACCTTAATAGAAATTTACTAAAATTATTAATTTGTTCTATTAAGTTCGCTCTGCAGGTTGTGGTCTTCTAAGTCTTCTAAGACTTGTCTTAACAATGGACCCCACCTGGGCAATCCCTAGGCTTTTTAGTTGTAAATAAATTAAAAAAACTGTTGGAAATTGGTTGAGACCAGCAGGAGACAGGACTGAAGAAGACAAAGGACTAGAATCTACAAAGAACCCCACAGGGGACCCTGGAGCATGCATAATTACAAAACAAGTATTTAAATAGTTCCAGGGAATAAAATTACTATGTAAAAGAATTCTGGGAACTCATTGGCATGAAACTGAACATGCTGGGTTTTTTGGTGTATATTAGTTGGGGTGTTTTGCTAACTTGTAGGAGTACTTACTGCCCCTGCACCCTCAATAAAGAATATGGCTTAACAGTGAGTTTTTTTGCTGTTGAATTCAATTTCTTTGTTTCAGCTACCTGTCTATTTTCAACAAATCTTGATTTTTCCTTTGTGTAGTGTATTTTATTATCTAGATTTTAGCTCAGGACTGCATGGATCTGTTTTGAAGATAGATGTCTATATTATATGCAACAGAACGTACAGAACACTTTGACTAACAAGCTTCTGCCTGTGTCTGAGCATTACAGGATTTTACACAGGAATATGTAATTTTTACATTTAATGGAAGCATAAGTTGATTGCTTTTTATTCTGCAGGGTCATTAGTTCTCTCAGCAGAGGTGGAACAGACAGTGACTTATTGTACTCCCTTTTCTTGATAGGCCAATTCAACTGAAATTTAGAACCTTGTCAGTTACATGGCCATCAGACAGCAAAGCTCAAAGAGCATAATGTCAGATTTATTTATTTAAACATTGGAAACTTGGATTATTTTTTACCCTTTTGGCTTCTAATGTTCTTTCCACAGGAACAGAGGTATATATAGATAATGTGGAAGTGCTAGGAGTTAGCAAATCACATTATCAATTTTTAAATTAACGATGAATTCTTAAATACATTAAGAATTGAGAAAATTGCTCTAATAGAAATGCACTTTTAAATCTAGAACACTGCTGCTATATAATACTACCTTTTCAAAACATGTACTTCAATACTTCAAACTGTATGTGGACTTTTTAATAAATTGGTGTAATTCACAGAATATTCAAGTAAACTCTTGCACTTCCTGACCTTTTAAAAAATAATTGCTTATGCAGAATGATGTGCCATTTAATTTTCCAGTGATCTTGTGATCTATGACATCCTGCAGTTCTCATTGGGCTGAGTATAGCAACCACCTTCAAGGAAGTAGTGAACAATCCCTTTATTATGACATTTAAAAGAAAAAAGTTTGTAGAGTATATTGTGATCAGAATTGGCATTTGTCCTCTTGGAAATGAATAGCAGCAGGATGCTGCTGAAGATCTGCATTTTCTTTATCTGGTGTGGAGAAGTTTGCATTATGGAGACTGAGTCTTTTAATCAGACACAATCAATACAAGCTTTAATTTAGAACTGCCATTTTCCCTCAGAATTTCAGTTCTTTCCAAACTGGAACAGAAAGTGTGCATTGCTCACAGGCTTATTTTAAGTCGTTAAACTTCCTATCCTAATAGACAGGGTGAGCATTAATTTTGAGTATGTTTTTATCGCAGAGAACACTTCACCATTCTTTTTGCCTGCTTGGTCATTGTAACAGAAGTTGAAGTTAGCTTCAAGCTAATGGGGCCAGTTTTAATAGTTGGATATGCCTGCGAGGCTTAAATCAAGTTTATAAATGTCTTGTGACTAATGAAGGTTTGATGTTATAGCAGTGCAAATGGTGCCTCCTTTTCTGAGCTCAGTTGGGTTTAGTTCTCTGCAATAAAATCTTTACTATAAGAACTAGTCTGCTTTGGGGAAAAGTAAATGTTCTGAAGTGACCTTTCAAGCTTTAATACCATTCTGTGCATAAAAATGCTCGCTCTTTTCCCTAACAATTGACATAATTCAAGGTTTTTGCCTTTAGAAATCTCCATTGGCACACAAAAACCCCTGGAATGAGATTTTATGTTTTTCATTTTTTCATTTGATAACTTCTGTATAAAGCCAAAGAAGATGAAGAGTTGTAGCAGCCTGCAGTGTTCATAAAGGACTGAATATGGATCTTTAAACAATAATTAATGAAAAATAGATGCAGATCCCACTGCATACAACATTCATTTCCATTTGAGGAAAAGTTGGGTTATGAAAGACAAACTGAGGATTATTACATTGGTTTAAGGGTTGCTGCATTGTTCAAGAAGATTTCACAACTGTTTGGCTGGTGCCATGCTTCTCAAGATTAAGAAGTCTTTCCCCTAAATTATGCACATATTTTGTATATTTATGTCTACATTTAGATGATACAGAACTGTCAAGATTGAGCAGGTCTATTTTAAAATCCCTCAGTGCTTCAAATTGTCCTTGCATTGAAAGCTAAGTCTTGCATTGTTCATGGCAGGACTTGCTTAGAAAGAGAAAAATATTTTCCCTGGAACAGAATCATAGAATCATCTAGGTTGGAAGAGACCTTTAAGATCATAAAATCCAACAATAAACCTAAATTGCGAAGTCCACCACTAAGCAATGTCCTTAAGCACTACATCTACACGTTATCTCCAGGGAGAGTAACTCATCCAGTTCCCTAGGCAGTCTGTTCCAGTGCTTGACAACCCTTTTGGCGAATAAATCTTTCCTATTATACAATCTAAATCTCTCCTGGCACAACTGAAGCCATGTCTTCTTGTCCTATGATTTGTTATGTGGATGTAGAAACTAGCATCCACCTCTCCACTATCTCATTTCAGGTAGTTGTAGAGAGTGTAAGTTCTCCCCTCAGCTGCTCCTCATAAGACTCATGCTCTAGACCCTCCTTGTTGGAGAGTACAAGTTCCACCAGCACTCCTCTCCTAGTTGGTTCGTCCACCATTTGTATCAAGAAGTTATCAATGCACTGGGGGAACCTTCTAGACTGTGACTGGCTGGCTGAGTAGGCCTTCCAGCAAATATCTGGGTAGTTAAAATCCCCCATGAGGACCAAGTTGCGAGACTGCTTTCAGCTGCCTGTAGAAAACCTCATCAACTCCCTTGTTCTTATCAGGTCTGTAATAGACCCCCGCAACTGTATCACCCATGCCAGCCTGCCCACAGACTTTCCACTTGCTCCTCATCAGCCCCTGGACAGAACTCACATAAAGAGCAATTTCTCTGCCTCGCTTTGCTGACCTGTCTTTCCTAAAAAGGACATAGCCGTCCATGACCATATTCCAGTCATGTGAGCTGTCCCACCATGTCTCTGTAATTGCCACCAGATCATAACCCTTAGAGTGCACTTGGAGTGCACGCAGGCTGCTAACTCCTCCTGTTTATTCCCCATGCTGTGTGCATTGGTGTACAGGCATTTCAGGGAGCAAGCTGAGCATGCTGGTGGCACCCTTGGGAGGCGGGAGGGAAACCCAAAAGACTGAATGTTCTAATCAGGAGACTCCCTGGACAAATTAAAGAGGTATTAATTCAAATTACAGATAAACTCTGAAATGGAAATATGCAAGGATTTACATGGTCTTCTTTGGACAAAGAATTGATAAATTACAGCAAGGAGTATGGTGTATTTGTTTCTGAATATTCTCACAACTCTTCTGCAGTCAGACAAGTCACTCAACCTTCATATGCTGATGTGGCTGCTAGGCCACCCCAGAACCACCCTCCTCCTAAGCAGCAAGAGAAATCACGGGGTGACTGGACAGTCGTGAATAGAGGTAAATGAAACAGAAAACCGAACAGTGCACACAGAAAGCAATGCCCCGAAAATCAATGAAAATCAACGTGCTTCATCACAAGATAACATGGGGCCATATGCTAAGCTTAAGGAGGAAGCCAGGCGTATAGGTATCCCACGGAGGCTTTTGTCTTGGAATTATTCTTATCAGCACCTGAAAGACTTGATAGAAGATTGGCCTAAAAGGCCTAACTCAAGGTCTAATTAGAGGGAAAGATCCAGTAGTTTGGAAAATTAAATAACCCCCCTCCTGCAAAGAAAAGAAAGTCTAAAAGACAGCGGAGGAGGGGAAAAGGACAGGATTCCAATACAGAAAATAAAAACGATTGGCAAACAAACAGTAATCAATCAGGCCCTAAAACTTCCAGTCCTCCATAAGATCGGCAAAATATGTTAAGGTTAGTTCAAAATAAAGATCAGCGGTCTCTTGCTCACAGCTTGGATGGGCATAAGCTCTGCTGGGTTAAAAAAATGGTTGGATAAAAACTAAAGAGTTGTGGTCAATGGAGTTAAATCCAGCTTACAGCCAGTCACAAATGGTGTTCCTCGGGGCTCAGTACTGGGGCCATTCCTGTTTAATGTCTTTATCAATTATCTAGATGAGGGGACAGAGTATACCCTTAGTAAATTTGCAGAGGACACTAAGCTGGGTGCAGGTGTCAATCTGTGTGAGGGTAGATGGATCTAGACAGGCTTGATTGATGGGCCAAAGCCAATTGCATGAGTTTCAGTAAGGTCAAACGTCTTTTTGCTCAGCTCACACATTCTTTTTACTGAAACTATGTTTTGGGAAGCATGTTACGTTAGTATCAGGTGCATGTACACTGAAGCCTCATGTGATACTAGCCCAGATTTTAAGGGTATGGAGTCTGTGTTTGAAATGTAACATAGCTGTACATAACTTGTACACAGCACTGCTGCACTACTGCACTACTGCTTAAAGTGGCAGGGATGTAATAGACTTGTGTAAGGGGTTTTGTAGATTCCTTGCCTTAAGCTAAAGTAGCTAATGATACTCATGCAGATACAGTGCAATAAAAAATAGGGCACATTAAATGGCTTAAATTAGGTCAAATTGAATAATTGAATTTATTCTTTTACTTAAAATTAGCTTCATCAGCTGAGAGTGCTATGGTCAGAAAAAATAGTTTAGTTAAATATTAATTAGAAGTTTATATTTTGAGCTTGCTCACAATCACTTGCAGCAATATTATTTATGTATCTGTTTTTTCCTCATTACAGCTACTAGGGGATGATGTCCAACCATTCTCACTTGATGAGGAAGTTGATTATGACAATGTGGTCCTGACCCCTAAGTTCTCTGAAGCTGAGCTTAATGGCCATTACAGAATTGTCTGAAGAGAAGAAAAAGGGGACAGATATGTAGGCTATTTTTCCTGAACATGACATTTTATTGACCTTCCCCTGTCTTGGTTTTTGGCTTGTACCTTTCATTTCATTATCTTTCACAGAGGAGACACATTTCCCTCTTCTACATTACCAGGATGTAAGAACATACATTAGGTACATATTCAATTTTATACATGTACATGGAGTTAGTTACTTAGAATTGTTTCAGTGTTTGTGAGGTGGAGAATGAATAGTATATGCATTTTCTTTTTGCAGCTTGTATTCTCTTTAATATTTTTGACAGAGGTTTGTGAGGGACATTCTCCTTTTCTATTCATGGTCTCTTCTAAACATCCTTACAGTTCAGATAAAAAATATAGCATAAAATAAAAATTAAAAATTAAGTTAAATTAAAATTAAAGGCAAAGACGCAAAGCTCACATATAGAACAGGAAACTTTGAGAAACTTTGAGTGCTACTTGCAATCTGCTTACGGGCTGCTGCAGTAGGGAATAGGATTTTCTCCCTGTGACACTGACAACAATTTTGGACTGCAAAATCTCTGATATTGGTTGAACCTGTTGGAAGTGAAGTTTGTGTGTCTGTTACCCCTTGGTATTCATGACTTCATTGACATGCAATAGAGGTATGCATCCAGGTCAGTCAGTGAACTTACCTGTATTAAACTTGTGGCTTACTTGCGAGATACCAGAAAGATACTGTTTTCTTCCACAGTCTTGATGGATCCTGAGTTATTGGGGAGGAGCAACTTGAGTTCTATGGGAAGTGTAGCAGTCCTTCCGCTGGGTCAGGGATCTGAAGGGTTGTTTCCTTCACTGGCTGTGGTGCAAGCTTGGATATTATTAATGCTCAGAGTTACTCCCTGTGGGTGTAACAGGAAGAGTAGTAATTTGCTGAGATAATGGTTGTGAAAGAATAAGAAAAAAAAAAATGAAGACATGAGAAGAGATGCAGACAAATCTGACTGACTCAGACATTATTATGGTTCTAAGTATCTATTCCTGCACAAAGGTATTGCTATATACACTTATATATACACAGTACCACTGAAAGAAAATAACATTAGCATGGAGATAATTCAGAACCTTTTTAAGAAGACAGCATTGACACATACCCCTGGATTTTACAGAAAAGAGCTTTTGATCCTTGATTTTCTGCTGCTATAAACTGGCAGGACTCCACTGAGGCCATTTAGATTAAAACAAAGCAGGCAGGACCTATTTACAGTCTTAGCTGAAAGAATACCAAGCCAAATAAATTCCCCATTTAACTTTACTGAATATAAAGCTATGTACGTGACCCGTTATCATTATGGGAATATATTAAAATGCAATGCCAATGCAATTTAAATGTAGAAACCATGTCTTTAACTGCTCAGTTACTAATCTTACAGGATTCACAGTGGAGTTTCTGTAGTGGTGTGTGCTTAGAACATTGCTTTTTTGCTTTAACACACATACTGCATACATTTTCAAGTCCTGTTCAAGTAATGAAACTTGATTACATCCATAACTTCTCAAGATTCTCACTTTAGAGGTTTGGTTTTTTTGTTTCTCTTCTGCATCTTGGTAGAGGGAAATGGACTTTATCTTTGAATTGTTTTAAAAATTCTTGACATCTTTTGCAAAAACATGCTTTCTTATAAAGGCAGGCTCTCAGCGATGCAACACTAAAAGGAGAAATAAAAATGGGACCAAATTCCTAGCTATTCACCAACTTGGTGTACATCACCGTGTGGCTAAGCAGCCACTTGCCAAAGGTAGCAGGCTGATTTGTAACCTGTTGTCCTTTACTTTCACTTTTACTCATGAGTCTTAAGTGTTAGGTTGGTCCTACATAGGTATGAGTTCTTACAGTCCTGCAAAGGAGACTGCAAAACAATTCAATTACGCGAACCAAAGATGCTAACCGGCAGTGTCTTGTGCCAAGGCTCCATGCACACTCCAACTTGCTAAATAATTTAGCTGAGTATGGCTGTTCAGCAGAGATTTGTGTTACAACCTTTGTGAATGTGATACTCCTGAAGCCGTGGAATGGAGAAGCCATGACTGACACGGGTTGAGGCAGACATTCATTAGACCCTGTTCATTTACTGGAACTGTGCTGAACAGGTGGCCTACAATGCTCATTCACAGTTTTCAGTTCAGTCTTGGCATGTTCAAGCCACCCAGTAAAGTGAGGAAACCCATGCTAAGGGTACTTGCTGGCTTCAAGTGAGGAGCTCTCTGCATCGCTCAGCTGAGTGCTTGTGATAGCAAAGGGCATTTCCACCACTGTGTGCTTTCTTGTGGTGAGGTGTCAGTTAGCACAGGTGGGTGTGAGGTACCACATGTGTTTTGGGCTCCTCTTGGAGGGATGTGACCTCTCACTGAAAGGCAGCTGCCTTTCCTAGTCTTAGGCACATGCAGTTCTCCCAGGTGCTAAATGTCTGCCCATCCCTTGGGAAAACTAGGCAGATAGATAGGGGTTTTTTTAAATGGTAGTAAGGTGCATAAGGTAATGAGTTATGTTCATTTGTGATTGCTGGCTGTTGGAGGTGACACCTTGTGTTTTTCTGGCAAGGTACTGTAAGACGACGTTGCACGTGTATGAGCAAGAGCTGTGAAATGCCATTGAGTTAGACTCCAAGAAGAAAAGCCAGTGTTAAAAGGTATTCTCATTTGTATAGCCAGGCTACTTTGTTTGTAATTGCAGTGCCCCATAGTTAAAATGGAAATAAATTTTAATACCGTATGAAAATGCAGAAACACTTGTCTCATTTATAACACTTCTAAAAAGGACAGATTATAAAATTTCCCTGATTAATGATCTGTAATTTCATGTGGTCTGTGGTGCCTTGCTCGGTATATCGGTTTGCATAAACGTTCCAAAACAATAAGTAAAGATAGATCTGAACAAAATCCATAAATCTAACTCGACAATGAATTTCAGGTTGTAGAAACTCGCTATATATTTAAAGTCCTCTTTGGTCTGAATATTCCCAAACTTTGGGAAAGTAGTTACTCTAATTTAAATAAAATTAAGCAAACATTTCTCAAGCAACCACTTAGTATCCATCTAGATGGCAAAAACCTCCCAACAACAGAGTCAAGGGCCTTTAAAGAGAACTTATGCACTCTATAGGAAGATACTGGTATTCTATAAAAGGACTCTGAAGATAGTGAATTAAATGGAAAACAATCTTTTTCTAGAGAGGGCACCTTACTAAAGTATTCAATAAAAATGTTGACTTGAAACACTTACTGAGAACCTTTGAATGCCCAAGTGAAAAATTACACTAATAATTTTGTCATTTGTGTGGATTTACCAGACAGTTACGTCTTGAGCCATGAAAATGAAATTAAAATTGTGTGGGGTTTTTCAGTACAGTTTGTAGCAGTATAGTTAAGGCTTTATCCTCATTATGGAGCAGATCATCTTGAGTGCCATTTTGCAGCATGTGCAGGATAACCAGGTGATCAGGCCCAGTCAGCATGGGCTTATGAAAGGCAGGTCCTGTTTGACAAACCTGATCTCCTTTTTACGACAGGGTGACCTAATAAGGGAATAATAGATAAGGGAAAGGATGAGGGTGTTACATATCTTGACTTTAGTATGACATTTGATAACATTTCCTACAGCATTCTCCTAGAGAAACTGGCTGCTCATGGCTTGGAAGGGCATAAGCCTTGCTGGGTTAAAAAATCTGGTTGGATAAAAACTAAAGGGTTGTGGTCAGTGGAGTTAAATCCAGCTGGTGGCCAGTCACAAATGGTGTCCCCCAGGGCTCAGTTCTGGGACCATTCTTGTTTAATGTCTTTATCAATGATCTAGACGAGGGGATAGAGTGTACCCTTAGTCAGTAAGATACACACGTCTCCTTGCTTTGGAGTCTCATAACTTGACAAAGCTAGAAAAGGCAGTTTGGCTCAGTGGTAAATATGGTCACTGATATCTCAAAAGAACATCTACTAAAGCAGTTGCATTTTTAAACAAAAAGAGGGCTGATGTTGGGGTCTATATAAATTGTTTTAAATTCTTCTCAATGAGCCCTAAGTTTCTGTACTCACAGCTAGTGAAACATATGAATTACCAGGAGACAGGGGATTACAGCTGTCAGCTTCAGTGAACTACAGGAAAACTTTCTGAAAAAACTCAAAATTCTTTTTCTTATAGGAATATGTGAGCTTTACAAAATAATTGGCAGTGTTTTTAACACCCAGGCCTGGACCTACTGCTTCAACTCCACCAGGAATGAACTTGCCCTAAACTCATGCTAATCATAATCTTTTGACCTTAAACCTCTGTAGCCTTGTTATGAGAGTAGCTAATTCATCTGGATGGCCCTCTGATCCCTTAGTGCCCCTTGGAGATCACCCAGCACTGTGTGCCAGGGGAGAGCAAAGAAAATAGTCCTGTCCTTGAAGCTGAATATTAAAGCCTTAGCACATTTGTAAACCACCGGGAAAATGGAAAGCCATGCAAACAATATTGAACAGGACCCCTTCAGAAAACCTTGCCTGAGAGGTCTCAGGAGGGTTTACCATCCTCAAGGGGACCCATTTTTTCCACAGAGTGATTTGGAGCAAGGCACTGGAAGTGCACGAAGGACTGAGTCCCTGTTCCCCCTACTGAGTCTTCTCTTTACTTCTCCTTCTGCCCTGTCTACAGCCATAAGTTAAGTTTACAGTGTTCTTCGCAAGAAACTATGACCCCAGTGGGACTACAACCACCAATCCTTGATCCTTGCTGTTTTAGAGCACTTTCCAAGCAGCTGTGATACACCAATGCACAGCTCACTGCTTCATTTCCCATCAGCACAAGTAAGCACAGGGCAGCCTGCACAGCCAGGCAGGTGCAGCTGCAGCCAAGCTGCGGGAGATTCCAACCACATGACGGCATCCAGGCCACACCCTCAGTAGGCAGGCTCTCCAGTTGGACAGCGAGTCTCATTTTGGGAGACTCCTCAAGCCAAACCTCAAGAAGAAGCATATTGGGCATAACAATGTAGTATGAGTAAAAGCAAAAGGATTCAGT